GTGCTCATTTAATTGTGTTGAAGACAGTGATCTAGTTAGTACATGGATCGTTCCTTTGCAATTACAGACAGTATCGGAAACAAAAGAACCATTAATCCTTTGGAAAAATTCTCATCCTTCTTCTGTAAGATATTGTAGACCAGTACGTTTACAATTTTTAAAAGAAACACAGGATATAATCAGGAGGGAAAGAGACTATATTGAAGCGCAAATAAATAAGCTGAATTCTTTTAAAACAATTAATCCTATTAAAATAGAAATTAAATATCACCTAGTTTTAACAATGGCTGATGGTAAAGTTTGGAGCGCACTTACAAATAGTTCAAGTCAAATTTGTTTTATTTGCAAAGCATCTCCAAAAGAAATGAATGACCTTGATTTTATTCGTAATCGAACTATAAATAAAGAAACTTTAACATTTGGCATATCTCCTCTTCATTCGTAGATCAGACGCTTTGAATGCCTTTTGCACATTTCATATCGAATAGATATAAAAAAATGGCGTGTAACAAGTGGAGATGATAAACAAATATTCAACATTCGAAAAAAGGCAATTCAAGCTGAGTTTAAAAAGAAAATGGGACTTATAGTAGATGTTCCGAAACAAGGAACGGGTACAACAAACGATGGTAATACCAGCCGTTGATTTTTTGAAAACCCTATACTATCAAGTCAAATTACTGCAATAGATGAGAAACTTATTAACAAATTTGCTATTATTCTTAAAGTGATTTCTTGCGGTTTTGCTATAGATATCGATAAATTTAATAGATATTGTTCTGAAACTGCTAAGTTATATGTTCACTTATATGATTGGTATCCGATGCCAGCAACAGTACATAAATTACTTATCCACGGTCCCGCTACCGTCTCAACAGGACTTCTTCCAATCGGTCTTTTCTCTGAAGAAGCGACGAACAAAGATTGTAAATATATAAGGGAACATAATACGAGGAAATGTTCTAGAACCGCAACAAACGAAGACCTGTTTAAAAAACTCCTTCTTACTTCTGATCCACATATTACTTCACTTCGAAAAGAAGTACCACGTAAAAGTGGTAGTTATCCTCAAGAAAGGATAGATTTGTTGCTGTTATTAACGTCGAAAAATCCGAATGATTCAATGTCTATATCGTCATCAGATGAATCTGAAGAACACGATGAAAATTAAAAAAGAATTGGCGAAAATTAAAAGTTACATAAATATACAAATATACAAAATAATCATATATATTATAAAATGCAATATATAAAATATAAAAACATAAACAATATAAAATATAAAAACGAAAAAAAAAAAAAAATAAAATATAAAATACAAAAAAATATAAAATATAAAAACAAAAAAAATATAAAATATAAAAACCAAAAAAATATAAAATATAAAAACCAAAAAAATATATAATATCGCACGCACGCACGCACGCACGCACGCACGCACGCACGCACGCACGCACGCACGCACGCACGCACACACACACACACACTCGTCAACAAAATTATCGCATAACTCATATTGACATTTCGCACAATTTAATTAAATAAGTTCTTGTATAATACCGCGAAATATTGTCGTATTTAAAATCTTTTTTTGTTTTCAAACAATATATAGAAACAAAAAATAAATAAAAATATAAAAAAGAAGAAAAAAATAACTATAAGTTTTATGTTCTTATTGCTAATCAAGATTAACGTCAAAAAGAGGATTAAACAATATAAAACAAAATTTAATTACATTGAATTGCATAATTTGTTTTAAATATCCTAAACAAAATTTATTTAAATATTAGTTGAAGAAAACGAAATTTAATTTTAGTCTCATTTATGCTTATTAGGTTAGTTGTAATAACCGAGTGTAGAGAATGACAGAGACAGCAGCCGCATTACATAGACACATAAAAAGAGCTATAATTTCAAAAGCGCTGAGAAGCGCGTTTTCCCCTTTCGCATGAAGGTTCTTATATATTCAATGCTCATGCTTTATAAATTTCGTAGCGGTACTCAGTGGTACTTTTTTTATACAGCTAAAAATAGATTTTAGATCGTCATACATCAATCTGTCTTCAATATTTTTCTAAAAAAACGGAAGAACTAGATATCATGAATAATTGAAACGTCCTATAAGATAGGAAATGATCCATACTTTCAATAACATTTTTCCGAATTTCTTAAAAAAAATTTCTTGGTTATATATAACATAAGTTTTTTCATAGTATTTATACGCGATTTTCGCAGAATTCTACACTCAAAAAAAAATTATTGTAATGACCAATTTTTATTGGATGCATAAAAGTTTCCTGCTACAACGATTTAATTATTGAAACAGCAAATCGCAATATCAGTCTGTAATTTCGGATAGGCTAACGCAACCAACTTTCAAAGGTAGTAAATAGTTGGTCACATTAGGCAACTTCTTAGTTGAGATAGCTTTACCGACTGGGTTAATGAGACAGTTGGATGGCCTGGCCCATTTAAATTTGTCGTTCAGGCAGCGATCGGCGCGCCGGCGATAGTATTTTATTTTTGCGATAGGATTTTATTGACGCTTGTCGAACGGACGTCTAGCTAACCTAGTGTATGCACGTTTTTCGCTTCGCTCCATTTTTATCTTTACAAAGATAAAGATTTCATATTCTGTTTTTTTTGGTGAGAGAATCTGTTGGTGAAACGAAATAATACGTGTGGTAGATCTGTTGGTGAAACGAGATAGCAGCTGAGCGGTAAGTAATATCATATTTATAACATGTCTGGTAATTAATATAAATGTGAACGAGAAAGAAGAAGAAAGATAGAAAATGTGTGACGAATGACCGGCAGAAATAAATGAAAGAAATAAGTTGCATATTTTTTATACGTTTAGCAATTACCATTATGGCAGACAAGTGGACTATTGATATATTGAAGAAGTGGGAATTTTCATCTTATGAAGCAATATTTAAAGGTAATATTATTTTTCATCAAAGTTTAATAGTTTTTTTTAAATATATTCTATTATTTGTAATATAAATTATCTGTGTTTCTTTGTCTGTATGTATAAAATCACTGAACAAGGTACTGAAAAAATACTGAACATTTTAAATAATGTTGAGTTAAATAATTTTGAGTGTTTCTGATTGTCATTTTTATTCTGTTTTAAATCTTTTCTTTGCTGTAAACTTTCTTAGAGCAAGAAATAGATAAGGATAGCTTTTTAAAGCTAAATGAGGAACATATATGTTTATTAATTCCTCGATTTGGCCCACAAGCCAAATTTATTCATTTATGGAAAAATTTGGTCTTCATTACAGAAGGTAAAATACCAGGTATGTCGGTAATTACTTTCCGGTTTTTGTAACAGATGTCACTAACCATAAGTATGCAATGTTATGATTTGATACATATGTCATTTTATTCTACTGACATTAACCTCAAAACTATACAAGTTACGTTCCGCCAAAATAACAGCGTTATAGATTAATAATTTTTTGAAAATGTCGAGTTTTGTGCCTGAAAATGTGCATTTGCGGCACGCATTACTTTTCTTGTTTAATCAAAAGAAAAAAACCGCTGAAAGTTATCGTTTGCTGGTAGAGACTTACGGTGAGCATGCTCCAACCATAAGAACATGTGAAACGTGGTTTCGACAATTCAAATGTGGTGATTTCAACGTTCAAGACAAAAAACGTCCTGGTAAGCCGAAAACGTTTGAAGATGCGAAATTGCAGGAGTTATTGGATGAAGACCCAACACAAACTCAAAAACAATTGGCAGAAAAGTTGAATGTGAGCCGAGTAGTAATTTGTGAACGATTATAAGCGATGGGAAAGATTCAAAAGATGGGAAGATGGGTGCCACATGAATTGAATGACAGGCAATTGGAAAATCGAAAAATCGTTAGTAAAATGCTGCTTGAAAGGTATGAAAGGAAGTCATTTCTGCATCGAATAGTAACAGGTGATGAAAAATGGATTTATTTCGAAAATCCCAAGCGAAAAAAATCATGGTTATCACCTGGCGAAGGGGGCCCATCGACTGCAAGGCCAAATCGCTTTGGTCGCAAGACCATGCTCTGTGTCTGGTGGGACCAGATTGATGTCGTATATTATGAACTGTTGAAACCTGGAGAAACAGTTAATACTGATCGCTACCAACAACAAATGATCAATTTGAATTGTACATTGATCGAAAAACGTCCACAATACGCTCAAAGACATGATAAGGTGATTTTGCAGCATGACAACGCGCCGTCTCATACAGCAAAACCAGTCAAAGAAGTGTTGAAATCACTTGGATGGGAAGTTTTATTGCACCCGCCGTACTCTCCAGACCTGGCTCCATCCGACTACCACCTTTCGCACCCTTTGGGGCACGCGCTTGCAGAGCAGTACTTCGCCGATTTCGAAGAAGTTAAAAAATGGCTCGATGAATGGTTTAGCTCAAAGGAGAAACAGTTCTTCTGGAATGGTATCCATAAATTGCCTAATAAAGAGATGGGCAAAATGTATAGAATCAAATGGCCAATACTTTGAATAAATATATTTTAACTATCCATTATAAATAACGTGTTTTCTTTAGCGAAAAAACCGGAAAGGAATTACCGACACACCTGGTATGTGTTCTCCATTAGTTTTACATTATTCATTTAGAGCATTCGATCTTTCACGTTTTTATTTTTATTTTTTATTTCAGATTAAAAATGCAGAAATTCTAGATGACAATAAAATTATTCCAGAGGAAATTAGAATTATTGATACAATAGATACCATTGTTGCCGATAATGATAGTTTTATGGTAAAGGATATATTCATTACAAATGTATCTGAAGAAAAATCAGTTAATGAGGAATCCTCTACTGATGTGTCGATGCAAATTGATGAGTTACAGTCGCAGCAAGTAAAACATTGCAAGGAAGATTTTTTTAATGAAAATTGAAAACATACTTGTATTTTAAATGTAAGTCTTTATTAAGAGCATTTCATCATTTTAAATAATAAAAATTACAAATTAAAATTTGTCACAGGATGTTAAACTTTACCTTGAACGAACAAGTGATGGAAAAAGTTATTTTGGGATTTATAACAAACAAGGCTTTGACAACGCTCTAAGGACAGATTTAGCGAAATATATAATAACAGCAGAGTTAGCTGACGATCCGAACAAACGGTGAATATAATGCAATAATTGACTGTTTTAACTATTTTACAAGTACTATTATAACTATGAATATGAACAAAATTAACGATATATATTTTTTACAGAATTACTCCAGACGATTTCAAACGACTTAGTTTACAAATTGTACAACTTTTTCCTTTGGAAATAGTGGTTAGTTTTATTTGCTTTTTAATATAGTTTTGTATTCTTTACTTATGCAACTGTCTATTTTATTTAAAATAGGATACTTGGTACATTCCGAGAAGGAAGTGTATTGGAACTGATCGTGCAGTACAGCCTAGAGGAAAGCTATATAATCAGTACACGAGATTAATATGTAAACTTCGAAGAGCAGAGCTTCATAGTACCAATTTATAAGAAGAAGAGGAAAACACAGATATTTTTCATAACTTTAATGGTATAGAAGCATAATATTTTGATTTTTAAACAATTCTAAAGCACTTTTTACTCCAGTTTGATATTGTGATCACAGCTAATTATATACGATAAGAGATATAAGTTATTATTATATATGGAAATATGTTTAAATATGATATTATAATTATAGGAGCGGGCAGTTCAGAAACGCAGTTAGACAGCTTTCAGTGGTTACGAAGGTGTCTGGAACCACAGAATGAGGCTATAGTAAAATGGAAAGAGACTGCCTCTGTAAGACTGCTAAAACTCAGAAGTACAGAATATAGGCGAAAAAAGGGCAAACAATTTATTAGTGAAATTACTGAATACTTTAATGAATTTCGTGTTTTGCGACAGCCTTGGGGTTATATTTTGGTAAATTGTTACTAGAAATAAAATTATATTATTTTATTTTTAAATTAATATTTTTAAATAATATTGTTTTCCCAATTCCAGTTAGAACAAGATTTCCACTACCTCTACCCAAATTATTCGATGCAACTTCTGTCTAATTGGGAGAAAATTGCTGTAAAAATAAAAAAACTTTTGAAAACTACTATAAAATCCACAACTGTTGAAGGTAATACATTCAAATACTTACATTCAAATACATTCAAATACTTTTCATTTTGCTATCTTCTTTGTACAGGAATAGTAGGAAAGATCAATTTATTTTCAGAGGAAATTGTAAAGGTGTTGCTAGCAATTCCAACACTTTTCTCTCCAACAAATGTTGGAAAGTGGCGTCCTACAGCTGCAGACTTGGGTGCTGTAGATGGGGTAGGTAGGGGTGGTTTCCTGCTACATATCAAAGTAAATAAATGTTTCTGTCTTTGGGAATGTTGAAGTTTAAACCTTTACCGATACAATGTACATATACATAGACTCTATTTTGTAATATTTAGGTCGTTGCACAGAATTAAAAACGCTTTTAAACAATATACCTACATATGAAAAGGAATGAAAGTATAATCTAATAGCTAATAAAAACGATATAAAAATGATGTTTTTCCTATTGAATTAAGGTACTTTCATATCAGAGTTCGACAATCACTTCAACATCTCCTTTTACACATATCATGTAATATTGTAAGAGAAAGAAAAGAGCAGTATAAAAAAATATTTCTAAAATTATATGTGTCAAAATTTCACAAGTTTTCTTTCTTGGGTTTTACGAGACTTGGAAGTGCAAGTAGAACGTATGAGGCAGAAACTCTTTGCTGCTAAGAAACAACTTCAGCCGTTCCCTGTCATAATTGGTGAAAATATAGCAAATATAACGGAATCTTATGTTTATATCGATAATTTTCCATATAAGGTAGAAAGTTCTTTACGTGCAATGTGTGTTTCAAAGCGTATCATGCTTTGCATGCGTCCTATCCCTTTCAAAGTAGCCAACCATGGCTTTTCCTTCAGCAAGTTATTTATCAATTTAAAACTTAATGGGCATGTACCATCTGTAGCAACATTGGTAAATGATTATTTGCAGTTAACAGATGATTAAATTTCTTTAAATTATAAGTTAGCAATAATTTTGCTAGTTATAAATAACTTATAATTTAAAAAATTCTAACTTATAATTTAAATATATAATTTTATTTTAATTTAAATTCCTAACTTATAATTAAAAACATTTTTTTTAAATTACAAGTTAGGAATAATCTTATTTTGCATAGAACTTTCAGTGATAGATATTTTCGAACGTTCAGAAGTAAAATATCAAAATGGTAAAGTGTGTAGAGAAAAATTGTAATTTAACTTTGACTTCTGTCAATGCTCTACAGTTGCATTTAAGTATCGCTCATAAGTTTGATGATATTACTGTATATAAGTGCCAAGTATCCCAATGTTTATCAGACTATAATTCATGGAGAAAATTCCGAAAGCATCTCATATCCTATCATAAATTTCCAGCGAATCCTAAAATTAAAAGTCATATTCAAAGTCGTGGTAATAGAAGTAATAGAGCTAACTTACAAACGTCAGATTCTGTCTGTCATAATGAAGACGTAATTTTCTCTGACTTTGTTAATGAAATATCGGTCTCAAAAGAATCTATCAATGACAAACTTCATAACTGCTTATTACGTTACATTGCAAAATTGTATGCAGATCCAACTTTGCCTCGAAAATATGTTCAAATTGTAATAAATGATACAGCTGCCTTGTTCTTTGATGTTATATCACTTCTGAAGCCTGCTATACGTTTTATATGTAATGAAGCAGAATTTGTTGGGAATATAACTTCAAATATATTCGATTTATTTGATACAGTTCTTAAATTATTTACGAATTTTAATTCTGAATATAATCGTGTGAAAGCTTTGCAGAAAACAAATCATTTTATTAAACCTCAGCCATATATTGTTGGCAATATTGTAAGTGAAAAAAGAGTTAATGGCCGAATCATTAAAGACATAGTTCCCATATACGGTCAGTTCCTACCTCTTTGTATAATTTTGAAAGCATTCTTTAGTCTTCCAGGAGTATTTGACACCGTTTATGATTATATGGTAGATCTAATGCAGGAAACAGCTGTATTATCTAACTTCGTTCAGGGTAAATTGTGGAGAAAAAAGAAAACAGATTATTTTTCTGATAAAATTGTTTTCCCTTTTTTTGTTTATTATGACGACTTTGAAGTAAATAATCCTTTAGGGAGTCATAAAGCAATTCAAAAGATAGGCGGAACCTATATTACTATTCCATGTATACCACCAGAATATCGTCCCACATTGGATGAAATTTTTGTTACTTTATTGTTTCATACATCTGATAGAGCTCATTTTAAAAATGCAGCCATGTTTCGCATATTAATAGATGAAATTAATTTTCTTCAGGACTGTGGTATTGTCTTAAATTTGCCACAAGGTGACCAAAAGATATATTTTGCTCTAGGTTTATTGACTGGGGATAATCTTGGACTCAATACAATATAAGGTTATTCAATGAGTTTTAATGTCACTTATTATTGCCGCTTTTGTATTACAGAAAAAAAAGATTGTGAAAAAGATTGCTTTGTACGAAAAGAGAATTTAAGAAAGAGAGAAAAGTACTTGGACGATATCCGTGATGGTCTATCCAACTCTGGTTTAAATGAATATTCAATTTGGAATGAAGTTAAAGGATTTCATGTTTATGAAAATTTTGCTTCAGACCCTTTGTTACCTGAGATGGCAGAAGGTTGTCTACGATATGGAATGAGCCATTTGTCATATCACTTAATATTCAAGGAGAAACACTTTGGAATTCATGAATTTAATGAAAGAATAAAAACTTTTGATTATTATATAAATGAATTTTCAAACAAACCACCACTTGTAACAGAGGAGGAAGTGAGAAGCAAGCATTTAAACATGTCAGATACTGAAATGATAAATTTTTTTTAACTTTTGGTTTTTTAGTTACAGACTTTGTGCCTTGCGGTAATAAATTGTGGCAGTTTTATATTGTTTTACGTCAAATATTTGATATTGTTGCTGCTACTAACACCCAGAATGAAATATCGATATTGTTAGAACAACTCATTTTTGAACACCATACATTGTACCAGGAGCTCTTTAAAGATAAATTAAAACCGAAACATCATATTATGCTACACTTTCCTATGATGCTTGTAATGTCAGGACCGTTAGTTTTGTTTAGTACAATGAGACAAGAATCTAAGAATAGGCTTAACAAAATTCGCGCGAATGCCACATATTCCAGAAGAAATATTACTTCTACATTAGCGTTCAAGGAATTTTTGCAAATGTGTTATAGATTAGTAAGTCAACTCGGATTTAGACAGAAATTTGAAATGGGACCAGGGAACATTTCAGACGAATTGCCTGAAAATGAAAATTTAGATTATTCATGTATTCCTGTCGATTTTAAAGTAGCTTGCATAGAGGTTCCATGGGTTAATTACAAAGGAACAAGATATAGAATTGGTGCATGTGTTGTTCCTGGGATAGATCATTTTGAATTGCCTATCTTTGGTGAGATTCAAAGAATATATTGCACGGAGAATTTTAAAGTTTGCCTTATATGTTTTACCTTTAAAACAATTGGCTTTGATCCGCATGTGCATACATATGATGTTGAAATGAGTGTTCAAATTTCTTGTATTAATATTGATGATTTGTTTCATCACTTTCCAGTTATTTCAGTCAAAATGAATAATGGTAAATATTTTATGTCTACAAGGTATGTATTATGAAATTGTAAAGACAAGAAATTGTAAAATATACAGACATAAACCAAATAAACTATTTCCTTCATTTCTGGTTTCTTTACAGACCACTTCAATCATTATCACACAGAAGAAAAGAGTTATTTACGGTAGCTAAAATTTGTGTACGGTAGCTAAAATAGTTGTAATATATGGACACCTGAAAATATTGTTGCGTTAGTCACTGTTTTTTACTGCAGGAGCAAATTTTCTTGCTATGGAATCGATATAATAACATGTTAATTTTATAGTAAAAGAATTTGCTTCTATAATAAAAATATAGCTAATGCAGCAATATTTTGAGGTATCCATATATTATAATAATTTTTTTTCCTATGTAAATGGTTTGAGTAATCAGTTAAAATGGTTGTAACAATATGCACAGTATAGCCGTCACGCAGAAGTTTGTCAGATAGAGCAACCAAGTAACAGGCCGTCTCGCGAAAATTATTTAGCTGCAGTAACCAATTAACAAATCGCTGCAAAATAGGCCGTTAGTTGAAGCAACAAAGTCACGTATCTACTCCAACCAATTTGTAGCAGCTTTGAAAATTGGTTGCTGCAGCCAACTAAAATGCTATGCCATATTTTACTATCTAAATTGGCTGCAGCAGCCAATTTTTTCTTTCAGTGTAGCTTATACAATGGATATCTTATTTATTTTCATTTAGTTGCAATATTATATAGTAAAATATCATTAAAATAAACATTTACATACTTTTAGAAGGTAGATTGATAGTGTACGAGTACAAATTATGAAATTAAAATTTTTCCTATTTTGGCCGCGATTCTGTTCATTCGGTCCACTGTGCGCCGTGCGTTCAGGACCTGCATCTTATTTTCGTTCCGAAGAGAGAAAAATATCAAGAGCGCGATAATCGCTAGACCGGGAGTCAAACCCGGGTTTTTCGCTTGCCGGGCGACTGCTCTAAACCACTGAGCTACCTGACGCTTCACGCTCACGACATTCTCCTCTCTCTAAATAACGTTTATTTGTAACGTAATAATTTGTATCTAAATTAGATATTGTTGTGTCCGAGCCACAAGGTTTGTGGCGGCGTCCGTTGTCCGTGAGCTTTAGGCATCTGATTTTGACAACTGAACGAAGATTGTCTGGACGACGGAAAATCGATAAGAAGAAAACAACAACAGCTGACAGAGAATCTCCGGCAAGCTGTCACCGTAGACAGACGCGAGAATTGTAGATCAGAGAATTATTCTTGTTTAAAGCTTGAGTGAGCTGCACTGTAAATAGTAAAGCTTGTTATTCTTACGCGAGTGTTTTCATTTACCTGAGTGCAAGCACGAGTGCGAGAGTGAGCGTAACAATATATTAAATAAAAATAGATCATTGTTTCGATTTTCCAACGCCAAGATAAATAGGACAAGGGGATGATTTTTTCCCTTCCTCATACGCAATTATAAATGGTCACCAATGAGCGTGCGTAAGGGAGAAAAATTGATCTCTTCCACCGAATTATCTTGGCGCAGGGGGAATCCCTACAAGCTGGCACAATGATCTATCTTATTTAATATATGATTTGTGTATCTATGATTTCATGATGATGATCAATCTATGATTTGTGTATATAATCGTTCTAATTATTGTAATCTAAAAGTTGGTAGTATTGACATGACTGACTAACGACTTTAATTTTTATTGTCCTCTTCTACGTACAATAACAAGTTAATTAGTGTATTTTTGTCAAAATTTGAAGTGAGAACATTAAATTGAACATCTACTGCTATTTCGTCATATAGTATACTTTTCAATGATCGAAAACACGAATGAAACTTTCCGAATAAAATATTTCATTTTTTAGGCGTAAAATAGAATAATAATTAAAAGTTCAGTCTTTTGTAGAATGTTTTATTGGCTCAGTTTTCCTGTTTTATACAAAACATCTAACAAACACAGATGCGTCCCGCCGAATTTATTTCGACCTGCCTTTTGCGAAAGCAACTAATCTATCGATTTCGCGTCTACTGCATTCAAATCTTTGCAAGTCCCCAAAGGACACTCTACGATACAACGCGATTATCGACTTGTTCAATAGCGCTCAATGTGGATGCATCTAATTGTAAGTACTAATGCTAACAATATTGATAAATGTAATAAAATTTGTGATGTGTATATTTTGTCGTATGTGTATATGCATACATGCATGCATATATGTATGTGTGTATATATATGGGTACGTATGTATGTATATATATGTATATACAAGGTGTTTGATAGCTGATCATGCAGACGAAAAATGGAGATAGATTGGGTGTAGCCGAGAAGAAAAGTCATGTACCATAATATCAAATTGGCAATAGTTACCGAGTTATTAATTAAAACATGTGAGCCAACGAGCGCGTAGAGAGCGGAGGGCGGCCGCAGTAAGCACGTAGACATTTGATATAGGCGGAGTCAGCGAGTGACGGTAGGCGAGCGCGCGCGGCGAGGGGCAACGTAAGCGACAAGAGGCGATCGCGCGCGACGAGAAGCGAGCGAGAGCTTTTTCATTATAGCTTTTTCCTTATAGCTCGCTCGCTCCTCGTCGTTCGCGCTCGCTCGCTCCTCGTCGTTCGCGCTCGCTCGCTCTTCGTCGCGCTCACTCGCCTCTTGTCGCTTGCGCTCGCTCACTCCTCGTCGTTCGCGCTCGCTCGCTCGCTCCTCGTCGCGCGCGTTCGCCTCTTGTTGTTTACGTTGCCCCTCGCCGCGCGCGCTCACCTACCGTCACTCGCTGACTCCGCCCATATGAAATGTCTACGTGCTTACTGCGGTCGCCCTCCGCTCTCTACGCGCTCGTTGGCTCACATGTTTTAATTAATAACTCGATAAGTATTGGTAATTTGATATTATGGTACATGACTTTTCTTCTCGGCTACACCCAATCTATCTCCAACTTTCGTCTGCATGATCAGCTATCAAACATCCTGTATATGTATGTATATATGTGTATGTTGGTGTATATACAGGGTGTTTGATAGCTGATGATGCAGACGAAAGTTGGAGATAGATTGGGAGTAGCCGAGAAGAAAAGTCATGTACCATAATGTCAAATTGGCAATAGTTATCGAGTTATTAATTAAAACATGTGAGCCAACGAGCGCGTAGAGAGCGGAGGGCGGTCGCAGTAAGTACGTAGACATTTGATACAGGCGGAGTCAGCGAGTGTCGGTTGGCGAGCGCGCGCGGCGAGGGGCAACGTAAACAACAAGAGGCGAACGCGCGCGACGAGGAGCGAGCGAGCGCAAACGACAAGAGGCGAGCGAGCGCGACGAGGAGCGAGCGAGCTTTTTCTTTATAGCTTTTTCCTTATAGCTCGCTCGCTCCTCGTCGTTCGCGCTCGCTCGCTCCTCGTCGCGCTCGCTCGCCTCTTGTCGCTTGTGCTCGCTCACTCCTCGTCGTTCGCGCTCGCTCGCTCCTCGTCGCGCGCGTTCGCCTCTTGTTGTTTACGTTGCCCCTCGCCGCGCGCGCTCGCCAACCGACACTCGCTGACTCCGCCTGTATCAAATGTCTATGTGCTTACTGCGGTCGCCCTCCGCTCTCTACGCGCTCGTTGGCTCACATGTTTTAATTAATAACTCGATAACTATTGGCAATTTGACATTGTGGTATATGACTTTTCTTTTCGGCTACACCCAATCTGTCTCCAATTTTCGTCTGCATGATCAGCTATCAAACACCCTGTATATATATATATATATATATGCATGCGTGCGTGCGCGCGCGTGTGTGTGTGTGTGTGTTTGTATGCATGTGTATATGTACGTATGATATTTGTGTACATACAGGATGTCCCAGAACAATTTTAACAGAATTCGTGAAGATGTAGAACAGATTAAGGACAAACAAATCTCATACCATTTTGCGATATTCATAATAGTTATCGACTTATTAATTACAGAAATCTGACGAATGAATGCCGAGATGGTATTAGACGAACACTGCAGCCGTTCGGGTCACAACGCGGCCTAGTCGATTAACAACTGTTACCAGCGCGCGGCGAGATATACAGGGTATCTCAGAACTTTGGGACACAGGCTCCGTAGGGACATAGAGCTAAATGAGAGAAACAAAAAAGTCCTCTACCATAATATGAAAATCGTAATAGTTTTTTAATTATAACAGCGCAAACTTTAGCGTTTTCAACGCCCAGCGCGGCCTATAAACGCTCCGCGGCAAGCTGTGTGCGTAGGGGCTGAACGATAACGCAGCTCGCGCTGACCGTCGCATGGCGTCAAAGCGCTAAGACGCCATCGCGACAGTCAGCGCGAGACGCGTTATCGCTCAGCCCCTACGCACACAGCTTGCTGCGGAACGTCTATAGGCCACGATGGGCGTGGAAAACGCCAAACTTTACGCGGTTATTACTAAAAAACTATTACGATTTTCACATTATGGCACAGGACTTTTTTGTTCCCCTCACTTAGCTCTATATCCCTACGGAGTCCGTGTCCCAAAGTTCTGAGACACCATGTAGAAGTGACGAAATAGGATTAGCGCATAGCCAAATAGCGACGCATTGTCTTTCCTGTTGCCGCACGCCGGCAATAGCTACTGAATCGATTGGGCCGCGCTCTTGCTCGACTGGCTGCAATGCTTCTTCAATCATCCATCTCGGCGCGCGCTTACTCCTCAGATTTCTATAATTAATAATTCACTAATTATTGCAAATACCGCAAAACGATATGGGATTTTTTTGTTCGCTTTAATCCGTTCTACCTTCTCCTCTTTCCTGAGCTCTATCCAAATTGTTTTAGGATACTCTGTATACAGGGTGTTTGATAGCTGATCATGCAGACGAAAGTTAGAGATAGATTGATAGTTAGACATGACTTTTCTTCTCGGCTACACCCAATCTATCTCTAATTTTCGTCTGCATGATCAGCTATCAAACACCCTATATATATAATATTTGTGTGTGTATGTACTTAATAACTCTGCGCTAAAGTTCAGCCGCGGACGGGGACATGAGGCTAGGCCATGATAACCGATTTTACAATCTCTGCGTAACACTTTTCGCTATATACAAAAATGGCTTCTAGATTCCTTATAATCATTTCTGGACGAAGAGCATCGTGCGTGTTGTGTGCACTCTAATCGACTCTCTAACTCTTCGTCGACGAAATGTGTCGCGTGGCAAACTTTTTATCACGAATAACGGTGCGGTTTCCGCGTGTCGTCGTTCTTTGCGATGGGAGAACGATCTTTAACAGGGACACGAGGCTTTTGGAGGCGGTGGTCTCGACAACGTGTTACACCTCGTGTGAGAGATCTATTTAGCAAAAATTCGTTAAACCATTAACATCTATAGTTTTATAGTATTAATTAATTAACAACTTATTACCGCAGCAACAACAACAACATCCCACCTCCTCTCTCATGTTTTTTTCGTTGAATTCTCTGTGCCGGCGTTTCTTATCCCAGCGGCCTAATGATACTTTACAAGCTTCTTGACTGCCTCTCCTGGAAAATTTCGCGATTTTTTCTAATGAACTTTCCCGACTTCTTTTCTTCATGGCGATCGGATTGTCGTGCTGTCCGAGTACCGCATAGTAATGCGCACATATTACATATCCAGCCGAGAATAATTTTCTTCGATGTTATAATTAAAATTACTGACAGCACGAGCGGGATAATTACGTCTTAATTACCTACGGTGAAATCGAGCGAGTGACCTATGCACTAGGAAAATATGCCGCCTAGTGTGAGAATATTGAATAGAAGCAAAATTAGAATTTACGTGGGACATGTTGCTCTTTGAAGAAAATTTAGAAAACACAATAGTTTCATTAATATTTATTCAAAATAATTGTAAATTCGCGATGTAACATTTCGTAGATTCTTCCCTTTTTTGAATCGTAATAGAATTTCACCCTCGATCCGTGGCATCGTTACTTCCAAAACAGCACGACTCGCGTACTGTTTCATGAGTCTTTAAATCGTGAGTAAGTCATCGTGAAAATTGTTATCTTCGTTAATCATACATATTCTTCAGGAATATCTTGTCCCCGCTTGTTCTTAAATTGGATCATACCGCTGAAGGGATAATCGCCAAAGACGCCCCGAATCTCTGGGAGAAAACGGGAACCGTTTCAACGGAATGTTACCTAACATATGTTGTCAATGACGATTCGTAAAATTTGTGCGCCTTTTCTTTTGTCCGTTTGTCATGTTCTCAGCTCGCGATCACGATCGGGTTTCTCGCGATGCACAAGCATCATTCGCACCGACTGTACGCGATACGCGAACACACGGCTGTCTACGTAGCGAGAAAAAATCAAAAGTGCAAGAGAAAGAGAGAGAAAGAGAGAGACGAGTTGTTAATCAAGCGGCTAATGATCCATCCGGCGCATTTCCATGGCTGCGATATCGTCCACGGAGATAAGCTTTTCTATAGGTATGCATGAGAGCTCGCCGCCAACACAGGATTGTGGTTGTTGCCACCTGGCCTCTCTCTCTGCCTCCTTAGCCTTCAATTCGGCCTCCCTAGCGCGACGTTCCTTCAGCTTCAGCGAGAAGATCGCGACCGAGCGCGCCCGCTTCATCAGGCTCTGCTTGACACGCGTCTTCTTCGCCTCGCGCTCCTCCTTCGTCGGTTTCTCCTCCTCTTGGCTGGAGATCGTCTTACTGGAATCTGATAAACCGCTCGAATCCTTCTCCTTCTCAGCTAGATAAGACTGCCGCTCACGATGATCGTGCATCTCCCGCGTCTCCGTGCGTTGATGATGTTGATGATGATGATGATGATACTGCTGTTGTTGTTGCTGCTGCTTCTCCGCCACCTTCTCACGCTCTTTCTCCTTCTCCGGCGAGAAGCGGAACTTTTGGCTCCTATGAGCCACTGACCACGGCGGTGCCGACCTTTGAACACAAGACTAACTGTTAACGTAGGAATGTAAGGATAAAAAAATACGAAGACGCGGAGAGATTCGTCCTTTCTCATCCTTTATATTATCTTTATCTTAATAAAGAGAGATTATATCGTGTATGTATAAAGAGAGAGAGATTATCTTCCTTTTATACCTGAGAAGATCACTGTCTGAAGACGAGGCAAGCTCTTTCGACACGATACAGTCTGTAGACCTATGCAGCGTTAACTCCTCTTCCCTAACGCTTATGTTACCGGTACCACTGATTTCGGAATCGCTAGATTTTCTTCCACCGGGCTCCAAACCTAATCGACGTACCCAGTCAACTCCACCATGTGGTCCGATGGTTAGATGATGGCTGTATTGATCAGTCGCACCGGATGCTTCGGGTTCATTGTTTAACCATTCCCTCGAGCGTCTTCCTACTGAAAAAAAAAAAAATATCGTCAGTGCAAAGATATTGTTTGTCCAATCAATGAATTCTTAAATATCGTAAATTTTTATTGAGTTTCCTTAAATATATACTTTAAAGGAAGTTTCTATCTTAAAATGGGAAAGTAGAAAGATTTTTTAAAATTTTCAAAAAAGTCACTTTTTTTATCTAATCATATAAAGCAATCTTCCTTGCATATTTTCAATTTTGTTTTATCTAACAAATTGTCTGAATGACAGCCAAAATACTAAGAGAATGCATAGATTTACATACGCATTATAGCCGCAGAAATAATTTCTAATAAGTATTTTTTATTACAGTTATAATCTTCTTTGCTCTTATGTTTGCTTTTTTTTATTATAAGCGAGATTTTGGTAACAGAAATTGTTTTGTTCGAAAGGAGGAGGGTCCCTAAGGCCTGTTTTCGGCACCCTTCAAAATTGGACCAAAATGGCTGGAATCACTTCTTTATACCCTTGGAAGTAATATTTAGTCAATTCCAGCCTAAACGGAAGTATTTAGAGTGTATACTTCAAGTATACATGGTGCATCAGCGTGCCCGTATCAAGCATTTCTTTGGAAAACTAAGCGTTTTTGAGAAAAATGTTTCAGATAAAAGTTGTATGGTTTCAAGGGGGGCATAAGACATAAGGGTATCATTGGTTTGACCTTGGATAGTCATTTGAAGGTCACGTGAATGTCGATTTCAATATTTTATATAGAACCCCCTATTTTTACATATCTTGTAGCTTATCTCGAGAGCTTCCCAAAACACTTATAACTAAGTCATTTTTCATTAAGTACTTTGCGAGTTATGATGCTTCTTACAGATAGATTTGTAGAAACGTTACTTAAGGAGATCCGAGATTGAAATCATATTATTTATTCTTGTTGATTCTCCACACGTGATCAGTAAAATCGTAAACGTAATCTTCCTTTAAGAAGCTACGTAGAATGAGGTGTTGGATTTACGTGAGTCCCCTTGCCTGTCACTTTTTATCAATTATCAATCCACGCTTAACAAAAACCCAAAGTTTAGCCAGGAAAGGTACAACAACAAGCGGCGACTTAGCTTTGCAGATAATACATTTATGTGTCATAGATGGTCTACTAAAAAGAATAGTTATTGTTTCGTTATTTGTTTGTCGTTTGCAGGAACATTAATATTTTCTGCCATATTGGAAACGTCTAATTATAAATTGCAATTCACTGTAGAACAAATCTGAATAATTATGCAAGATTAAAAACTAAAGAAGGAGAAAAAGTAAAGAAGAAAAACTTAAAAATAACAAGATATCTTTTTGCGTAATAAGAAAATCTCGAGAAGCAGCTCTAACAAGAACTAGTTTTATTTTTATCGTAACCAGGTCCCTGAGTACGCGCATACACGTATTTTGTATATCTCTGACATTAAGATGTGAAATCGGGTCCGATATAAGGCCATGGACATAAGCAGAACTTGGTCTATTGAATTATTATAAAAGCTTAAGGGATCGTAGTTGCTCAAAAAGGTGCATACAGTTCTTAAAATAGTTCTTTTCAAATCTCCATATTTAGCCTTGCGGCAGAAAATATGTCAGTTATTTCTTTCAGAAGTATTTGTAATAAGTGTTTCTACGTGATCTACGATAGTGTTTTGGAAAGCTCTCGAGATAAGCTATAAGATATGTAGCTGTAAGATAAGTTATAAGATATATCAGGTGTAGTAAAAAGAAATCCATTATTTTTCCAATAGATGGCTTTAGTTATCTGTATCTCGCGTTGTATAAGTCCGATGGGGTTCCACTAGATGGCGCTAGAAAGATGAGATTTCGTACTAAAAAAAACTTTTCTGACAGTTTTGTAATTAGTTGACTCAGTTTTGTTTGAGCGCGCGTCAAAGATGGACACTAGCAAAGAGAAAATACGCTATATTTTACAGTTTTTCTTCGATAAAGGCGGAAACGCAAGCCAGGCGGCTGTAAATGTGAATAGTGTTTATGGTCCTGATATTGTAACAGCCAATCACGCGCAATTTTGTTTTCGTCGATTTCGTTCCGGTAATTTCGATGTCAAAGATGCACCACGCACTGGAAGGCCAATTGTCGAAAATATCGATAAAATCATGGACATTGTCGAGTCCGACCGTCATGTAAGCACTGTTTCGATTGCCCAAGAGCTAAAGATTGCACAAAAAACCGTTTGGAACCATTTGAATAAGGCTGAATACAAAAAGAAGCTCGATGTATGGGTGCCACACGAGTTAACGAAAAAAAACCTCATGAACCGAATTTCCATCTGCGAATCGCTGCTGAATCGCAACAAAATCGACCCATTTCTGAAGCGGTTGGTCACTGGTGATGAAAAGTGGATCACTTGCGACAACGTCAAGCGAAAACGGTCGTGGTCGAATCGCGATGAGCCGGCGGAAACGGTGGCCAAGCCAGGATTGACGGCCAGGAAGGTTTTGCTGTGTGTTTGGTGGGATTGGCAGGGAATTATCTACTATGAGCTGCTCCCCTATGGCAAAACTCTTAACTCGGAACTGTACTGTCAACAATTGGACCGTCTGAAGGAAGCAGTCGCCCAGAAGCGGCCAGCTTTGGCCAATAAGAGAGGAATTGTGTTCCATCAGAACAACGCCAGGCCACACACATCGATAGTGACTCGCCAGAAGCTCCGGGAGCTTGGTTGGGAGGTTCTTATGCATCCACCTTATAGTCTGGACCTGGCACCAAGTGATTACCATCTGTTCCTGTCCATGGCGAACAATTTTTCTGGTGAAAAATTCGCTTCAAGAGAGGCTTGTGAAAATCGACTGTCTCAATTTTTTGCCAATAGGGACGAGGGCTTCTATGAGAGAGGCATAATGAAATTACCTTCAAAATGGCAACAAGTTATCGGACAAAACGGCGCATATTTGACCTAAATCGGATCATTCTAACTATGGTAATTAAAGCCTTCAATTTCATGCAAAAATAATGGATTTCTTTTTACTACACCTAATAATAATAGGGGGTTCTATATAAAATATTGAAATCGACATTCACGTGACCTTCAAATGACTATCCAAGGTCAAACCAATGACACCCTTATGTCTTATGTCCCCCTTGAAACCATACAACTTTTATCTGAAACATTTTTCTCAAAAACGCTTAGTTTTCCAAAAAAATGCTTGATACGGGCACGCTGATGCACCATGTATACTTGAAGTATACACTCTAAATACTTCCGTTTAGGCTGGAATTGACTAAATATTACTTCCAAGGGTATAAGGAAGTGATTCCAGCTATTTTGGTCCAATTTTGAAGGGTGCCGAAAACAGGCCTTAGGGACTCCTTTATAAGAAATATGACGAGCACAGGTATATATTTATTTTTTCCCGCGGTAAGACATTCGAGCAAACTATTAGATTGATAGGCAACAATCAGCGCAAATTTCTAAGTATAAACATGTTCAAGTCATATCGCCTTTGGTTTCGTTTATACATAAGTTTTTGTTCTAACAACTAAAATAAAGAAAAATATAAAGTACAGAGTGTATAGCATTTTTTATCATCACACAAAATGAGCTACAACGGCAACAGAAAGATATAGCAGATATGAAGGAGAAAGTTTACTTTATCTACCAGACATAGATTGAGTCGCTAACAGTAGGAAAGAAAAACAATATTTCTTGTATACAAAAGTATACAAGAAGTTTATATTAGATGATAAACTTAGTTTCCACCGCTCACGATAGATAGTTACAGCTGCAAAAAATGATAAGTTTTGAAAGCTGAGCTGATTATCCTTTGAAAATTAGATATTTATCAATAAAATTCAGCAACTAAACGGAACAGTCACGACTAACCGCTATCAATAACAATTGCATCGATTGAAGGATAAATTGATGCGAAAAAGGCCATCGGTAACTAATAATCGACGTAAAGTAATTCTTTTGCATGATAACATGCATTTTGCGACCTCATGTTGCAAGAACCATAAAAGAAACATTGTTGGAGTTTGAATGGGAAGCTTTCCCCCTCCTCGCATCCAGCCTATTTTCCAGACTTGGCCCCGAATCGGTTTACTACCTTTTCCGATTAATCACGATCACGCAACACCCGCTCGCCGATACACACTTCTTTAATTAAAAAGTAGTCTTAAAATGGGTGGATGAATGGTTTGTTTCGAAAGACAGTCCGTTCGTCGCGGAATCCAACTTAGAAGCTTATGGTAAAAGTGCTCCCACCGATAAATTATACAGAGAATGGTTTCGACGTTTCAAAAGTGATGATTGAGAGTGTCGATGATAAACCTCGTCCAGGTCAGCCGAAGAAGTTCGAGGACGAGGAATTGCAGGCGCTAATCGATAAAGATCTGTGTCAATCGTAACATGAGCTTGTGCAATTGTTGAATGTTGATCGATCAACAATTTCTGTGCGTTTGGCAGCCATGGGAAAGATTTACAAAGAAGGAAGATGGGTGCCATACGAAAGAACTGAAAGAAAGAGACATCGAGAGGCGAAAAGCCATGTCTGAAATCTTGCTTGCCAGGCAAAAAAGAAAAGGTTTTTTGCATCGTATTGTGACTGGAGACGAAAAGTGGATATATTTCGATAATCCCAAACGAAGGAAATCCAGCGACCCAGGAAAACCATCCACACCGATACCAAAGCGAAATATTCACGGCAAGAAAGTAATGCTCTGTATATGGTGCGACCAGAAGGGTGTAGTGTATCATGAATTATTAAAACAGAGCCAAACCATCACTGCCGAACTTTATCAACAACAATTGATCCGCTTAAACAACGCATTGAAGAATAAGCGGCCGGAATATGCAAAGAGACACGACAAAGTGATCTTCCAGCACGATAACGCTCGGCCACATGTTGGAAAGATTATGAAGGCCACTTTGGAAGCACTTGGCTGGGTTTTATCTCACCCGCCGTATTCACCAGACATTGCTCCATTCGATTATCACTTGTTCAGATCGATGGCACACGGGCTTTCGGACCAGCACTTCAACAAT